ATTATGCTTAGTTTTGCTTAGTGGGGATACAACTATATGGCTGGACAGTTTTGTTAATTCTAGGATATGGACAACTTGGTTAATGGGCTAAAACTGGAGCACTTACATTAAATAATGGTTGATGAAATATGATTGACTTGGACGGGTGGTAGGGCGATGATGGGAGGTATGTTTCCCCTGATGCAGTAGCTCCGTCTGGGTCGTTAAGGACTAAATATTTTGACGTCTATTCAAGCACCCTACGTACTTACCACATGCCGTATCATGGGACCGGCTTGTTTGATTACTAGACCCACTGTGATCATTTACGCCCATCAGAGAAACGTGGGTATTTGGGATCCGCGGAGTGCTTGGTTGGCCGATGTCACGCCCAGAAATTTAACCCAAATTTCTAGACTATTTTGCGTATTAAATCCCTGTCCAGGACCAGCCAGGGTACACAAAACGACAAGTAATATACAGTTCCAAACGTAAATAAAGCGTAAAATACTTACGGAAGAGGCACTTAGTCCTCACACCGAAACAGAACGATAGCAGCGGAAAAAGGCGATCCTAGCGGGGCTTCAGCTCCACTCCATAGGCAAAACTCAACTGGGGTCTGAGCCTTGGTCCTCTAACTTCATCTTCAGCTCAGAAGCACTACACTTCTGAAAAAGGGGGAATAATAGCAAGACTGAGTACAACCACCGTACTCAGCAAGCCACACCAACGATGCAGACGTGCAAGGGGATACAAGGAGGGGTTTGTGGCTATTTGCATAAAGGCAGTTGTAAAACATTTTATTGAGCAAAACAGTAAAACTGTTGAGTAATTAAAGTAACATTAAATCTCCATTGATCAACGCTATACCACATTGAACAGGCCCAACCAACCCACCTGAACTACAGTGTATTGGGTCGATTTATTAAGATGGGACTAATCACGGTGAATCTGGTCGACCGCCCATAACCGCGGGCACGGCTATTCGAATAGTTTTACTCTGATCAGAGGTGTACAGCTGTACCCACAAGACACAGCCCCACGACATGTTTCCGTGCGCCGACATGCCACCACGACATACCGGAAAGAGGCCATGACAGGACCCTTCGCATAACCCCCTCTAGCCAAGCACACCACACCTCAGGTTTAACCCCCGTCCCCAGCGGGCAACGGGCAGTCCCCTCTCGTGCCTAGGTGAATCCGAAAGCGACAGAGGCCGTCGCAGGGCCCGCCCCGCTCCATCACGCCCACCCTTGCCTGGATGCGTCGACTAGAGGAAAGCTACACTACAAGCCCAGCCGTTGCCCACACTGGCTTGTGGTAAGTACGATATGTTCTTCCAGGGCATCCCGCGAACCGGTCCTTAACTGCCATGGGTGCGACTAGCAAAACCATGCACCCACAGCCCACCATTCAGTCGCATTTTAGTTGGATAATTACGACCATGAAGCATGGCCAGATGTCTCGAGCACGCAGCTCAACAAGATACTAGAATGTCTAATACTGCAATTATCCCATCGACTGAGCTAGTGGTAATTAAGCATGGCTAAGCATATAGTTCTAGCTAGGTCATCAAAGTAACACAAGCTAGGCGATTTATTACCCATGGTTGACAAAGGACAGATTTCAAGTAAACATGGCACAAGCGAGCAGATAGGTAATACCCGGATCCCATGTAATTAGCAAAACATGCATATTTATTTGTAAACGGTAAAACATTTATAAATTGGGATCAACATGCTCAAGGGGAATGTGTGACTTGCCTTGCTTCTTCACTTGGATCTTCTGAACTCTTATCCTTGCGAACGCGATCTTCCGAAACAACGGGAACTACACGCTGGCACGCAAAACGAGGAAAAACTCTAATAAAAACCAAGGAAACAGTACATAAAAAGTAAACAAACATGTAGAGCTCAATTTTAGATGAGTTTTGCAAGTTGAATGGCCCAATTTGGAGTTCGTATGAATTAGATATGAATTTTAGAAGTTTTGAGCCATTTAAATGAATTTCTAGAATTAAACTCGATTTATTGCACAATTATTATTTATTTTTACAAAGGAAATGGACTTCGCTGATGTCAGCAAGGGGCGGCCGGCGCCGACACGCGGGCCCCAGACGTCAGCGAGTCAAAGGGGAAGGGCGCACGGTGGACATGGTCCACACGTGGCCTCGGGTGCGCGTCCACCACGTGGACGGCCCAGATCGGCCAGGGCCGATCGGACGGCTGGGGGCGGCCGAGCGGCGCGGCCTGGCCAGCGCGCACACAAGGCTGGCGGCGGCGGCGGCAGGGACCAAAGCGACGGCGGCACACGGGCTCCGCTGCTTTCAGGTGAGGACTCTAGCGTAGAATTGTGCTTCCTGTGTGGTCACTGTTCTGCCGGGGGCGGCGAGGGCAGTAAATGATCTTCTGCTATCTTCAGCTTGGCTCTTGCCCGGTTGGTTTGCCCTTGTGGGGTTGTGGCACCACCGGCTTTTGTTTTGTGCTTCTGGCTTTTGTTTGAATCTTCCGCTACTACTTGTGTGCTGTTAGATGGGACCTCGGATCCTATTATGTACCAGATACTTGCTGTACTTAACCCCTTTTTATGCACTTGTGATGATGTTCCAATTGCTTGCGATGAATGTGTGAGGCTAGTCGCATTCCTGGGGACTAGCTGAGCATGAGTAACGGGTTTTGATCGCTTGAGATAATTGGTGATAGTGCTTTGGATCGAGGCACTGGGGTATGCCTTGTTTTCTGGTCGCCACCTTCGTGTGGTTGACGGGCATATGACGGAGTAGCCTGGCAAGTTATCTTATGGTTATCTCTTGTGATCACTACTCGGCATTCCGGTTATTATAGTAGAAGGTGTCAACCGTGATCATGGACACATTGAGGATGAGTGTCTTTTTTTTATGCGTGTTTGGATCCCACTCCTCCAACAGTATGTGGTGGTCGCGTTGGACACTGGATGGTATAATACTTGGGGTGTCCACAACCTCTCCCCCTCCTAACCCCTCTCCCTCCTTCCCTAGGTCGAGTCCGAACGCGTCTGCCTCTTCTCAAGCATCGCCCACCGCCGGAGACGCCGTTCCGCCGCCTCCCATGCCGCCGCCGGCTGCTTCCCTAGTGCCATCTCGCCGTCGCCGCCCTCGGCGTGAACCCCTCCTCCTTCCTCCTCCTCTTCGCCGGGCGTGTGAGCCGACGCCGCGCGTGTGCGCCGCCGCTCCCCGCGCCGTCACCGGCCGTCTCCATCGGTGGCCGCGCCGTCGTGCACCGTCGCTCGGACGGGCCAGCTTTGTGCCATGCCTGTGCCCCAGCCGACCGCCCTTTGCCTCCCGATCGGCTTGGCCGATCTGGGCCGTCAATCCAGTGGACCGGCGGTGGACCTCCCTGTGGTCCCGGTCCACGGTGGACCGATCACCTTGACCCGCTGACGTGTGGGGCTCGCTTGACGGCGCCGGCCTCTTTGATGACGTCAACGCTTAATCTTTTCCTTTGATAAAATAATTAATAATTCCACAATAAATCATTAATAATTGTATAAATCCATCTAATTCATCCAAACTTCAAATTGGGCCATTCAACTTGCAAAGTTCATCAAAAATTGAGCTCTACATGTTTGTTTACTCTTCATGTACTATTTACTTGGTGTTTATTAGAGTTTTTCCTCATTTTGAGTGCCAACGTGTAGAATCCATTGTTTCGGGAGTTCGCGGTCACAAGGATCAGTGTTCGGAAGACTCTTTTGAAGAAGTAAGGCAAGTCACACATTCCCCTTGAGCATTTTGAGCCTAATTTAAAAATGTTTTACCGTTTGCAAATAAAGATGCATGTTTTGCTAATTACATGGGAATAGGGTTTACCTATCTGCTCGTTTGTGCCATGTCTACTTGATATATGTCCTTTGTCAACCCTGGGTAATAATTTGACTACCTCATGTTACTTATGTGACCTAGCTAGAACTATATGCTTAGCCATGCTTGATTACCACTAGCCCAGTTGATGGGATAATTGCAGTATTAGACCTATTAGTATCTTGACGAGCTGCGTGCTCGAGACATCCGGCCATGTTTCGTTGGTCGTAATTATCCAACTAAAATGTGACTGAATGGTGGGCTGTGGGTGCATGGTTTTGCTAGTCGCGCCCATGGCAATTAAGGACCGGTTCGCGGGATGCACTAGAAGACATACAGCGCTTGCCACAAGCTAGAATGGGTAATTGCCTGACTTGAAGTATAGCTTTCCTCAGGCTGACGCATCCAGGCAAGGGTAAGCGTGATGGAGTTCGGATGGGCCCTGTGACGGCCTATGCGGCTTTCTGATTCGCTTAGGCACGAGAGAGGACTGCCCGCTGCCTGTTGAAGAGTGGGGGTGAAACCTGAGGTATGGTGTGCTTGGTTAGAGGGGGTTATATGAAAGGTCTTGTCACAATCACTCGACATGGTAACGTGTCAGGCCTGGCGCGGTGACATGCCGATGGATTGTGTCCTGTGGGTACAGTTGTGCACCTCTGGCTAGAGTAAAACTATTCGAATAGTCGTGCCCGCGGTTATGGGCGATCAACCAAAATCACCGTGATTAGTCTCGCCCTTAATAAATTGACTCAATGCATTGGTTAGTTCAGGTGGGATGGTTGGGCCTGTTCAACGTGTAGCGTTGATCAGTGGAGATTTAATGTTACCTTAATTACTCAATTGTTTTACTATTTTGCTCAATAAAATGCTTTACGACCGCCTTTATGCAAATAGCCTCAAGCCATTCTTGAATCCCCTTGCACATCTGCATCATTGGTGTGCCTTACTGAGTACGGTGGTTGTACTCAGCCTTGCTATTGTTCCCCCTTTTCAGAAGTGTAGTACTTCTGAGCTGAAGACGAAGTTAGAGGACCAAGGCTCAGACCCCAGTTGAGTTTTGCCTATGGAGTGGAGATGAAGCCCCGCTAGGATTGCCTTTTTCCGCTGCTGCTGCTTTCGTTTCGGTGTGAGGACTAAGTACCTCTTCTATAAGTATTTTACGCTTTATTTACATTTGGAACTGTTTATTACTTGTCGTTTTGTGTACCCTGGATGATTCCTAGACAGGGATTTAATACACAAAATAGTCTGGAAATTTGGGCTAAATTTCTGGACGTGACATACTACTACATAAATGAATTTTTGGATGAGACCCTCTTTAGGTTGCAAACGTAATTTTAACTAGCCGCATCTGCAAAAATCGTCCTCCATTTTCGCATACGACTCCTTAAGGGGACCACACACAAAAATCGATGTTCACAGACGAGCCTCTTAAGGCTCCGCACGTAAAAATAAGCATATTTTTTGCAGGCGGACCTCTTAAGGGGCTGCAAACAAAAATATATTTTCGTAGGCAGACCTCTTGATGCTCCGCCTAAACTTTGAGTTAACTCCTCATTCCCTCTTAATATTTCAAAGTTTTTCATCCTTATCCACTCATATTTCTCTCACCTTCTCTCTCTCACCTCCTGATGTGCCCTAACCCCCATCACATGATGATGAGCACATCCCAGCTACACTTGACATAAACAAGGATGATGGTTTACGTCATAAGTCACATGAGGAAAATGAAAATGACGTAAATTATGTTGATGGATTACGTCTCAACAAGAACGATCAAGCATATCATGGTCCAATTACGCGCAGCCGTGCTAGGAAAATACAACAAGAGGTGAACTCACTCTTTGCTCAACTTAATCCAAATTTTATACTACATAAATGCTCTACATTTGTATTGCTCAAGTTTACGCCCGAGGACATCATCACTACGGCAAGAAGGATGGGTTACGTTGAGGACGATAAGGGTTACGTCGAGGAGGAACCAGCCCATGCCAAACCAGTAGCTGTCTACGCTAACAAGAAGATGGTTTACGCTGCAAAAGGATCAACTTCCAAGGCTTGTGCGACCCAACCAGTCAACTTTCTCCATGCTTAATATATATGGTTGGAAAGATAATCAAGTCTAGTTTCACCTCCAACAAACGGCTCGTCATTTCGACTTCCCACTAAGGAGTTATGGACAAATCATTGAAGACTGCTCAGAAGCCAAACAGACGCGCGAGTCTTCTCGGGAATTCACTTATTATGACCTTTGACCTAGCCTATGTCCAGTAAACTCCCAAGACTTTTCATTCTCATCTAGGAGGGTTGTTCCTAGTATAAATATCCCCTATGTTTTATCATTTAGAAGACTTTTGGACAGTGAAAATATGAACACCTTTTGTTCAGCTGTGTGCTAATAAATTCAGAGAGAGATCTCTACCCCTTTGCTCTTGTGATTTCCTTGTGAGATTACAGAAACAGCGTTCGACGCCCCCCAATTGGTGCTCCTGGTCCCTTCGAGGTTTTTCCTTGATTGATTTAAGGTTGTATTGGTTGGTAAACTTAGAGTGTGGTTGGGCGAACCCTCGATTCAGACTGCCGTAATAGAGACGGTGGTTGGCTTCGAGTACGATCGTCAGGTTGCACTGTTATCTTGGCTGCTTGCAGCTAGTTATCTTAGTCTCTTTGATGCTAGTTATTGGTTCTTGATCCTACGCCGTAAAGATCGGGACATCAGCCCTACCGGGGTCACATCATCTGATATCAGAGTTTTCGTTGTCAAAATATCCTATCTTTCTTTGTGCGTGAGTTGGTGTTTCTATTCCTGTGGGGACCCAAAATAGGACTTCCTGTGTATAAGTGCTAGTCTAGGATCAAGCTAGCACACACAGAAACAAAGATAATATCACAACCAACATCACAAAGGAAACCTAATATTTAATATTAATAATGACTGTGATAAGCCTTATGGCTAAAGTTTACATTTATTCTGCCACGAAGGGCCTAAGGAAAATATTAAAGTACCAGCGGAAATATGATAAATGCGTAGTAGCTCCATTCAACTTGCCACAGGCAGTCAACTGGGACTCACGACCTATTCCTCGTCTTCAGCAGCAAACTCCTCAGGAAACAGCGGGAACCTTTCTTCTGGAATTGGGGGAATTGGAAGGTGAGTACATGGAATACTCAGCAAGCACACAGAAATATGCATATGCAAAGATGACAACAAAGGCAATGGCTATTTTGCATAACACAGCAATTTGCAGTTATAAACAATTTATAAACAGGTTTAAAACAATAGTTATAAATAACGGGTATTACCAACTATCCATCCACACAGGATTCGTCCACACAGGACCACATAGCTATATTCATTAACCTGCACACAGTTCATTCCCAGTTTTCACAAACTACCCCTCATGAGATATCACCGAGCATGTCCATGACCGCGGACGCGGCTATTCGAATAGATTAATTAACACTCTGCAGAGGTTGTACAGCTTGACCCACAAGATACATCGTCCTTTTAACGGCCATGCGCAAGTGTCACACTTCAGGTTGTGTGCGGCCAAGGAGTCTGTAACAAGGCTTTTTAGAAACTCCGTCCCAACACTGCCTTCCCCCATGAGACACCTTTCCCTCACATAGACAAGAAAGTCCCCATGGCGAACCTAAACTCCTATCATCTAGCTACCTGGGCCAACAGTGCCAAGACTCAGAATCCTACTGGGCCAGGTTCTTCCCATGAGAACATGTGGTTGCACGTTAGGCTCAGATCCATGACTTATGAAGTGAAGTCCTTAATTGACCAAGGCAACTTGCCAAACTACAATAGCACACAGCTCAACAGTAGGCTCACACAGAGACCATACCCAGCAACGATCACACAGATACATTACCACCTAACCAGGTTCACACTGAACCACCCATCACCCCGGTCAAAAATGTTTTATCCGCCCGTTGTTTTACACGTTGCAACACATGCTACCGAAAAGATAGCACACAGCCACACAGTTCATATAAAAGTGATTATAAGTATATGATTAATCAAAATTATATTTTGCTTGTAAAACAACCTTGAGCGGGCTAAGCATAACTACTCTACCATGAGTTGAGCCCAATGTTCAACTCACAAATACTAGGGAGACAAGATATCATGGGCAATCAATAATTATCAAAGGTAGGATAATAATAACAATTAGGTCACGCTACCCATCGATAGTTTATAAACAAAACAATGCATGTATTCAAAACAAAACATTTCACAAATAGGTTCAATATGTTCAAAGAGTGCACTTGCCTTGATCCCAATACTGTCCTTGCACAGCGTCTTCTGAAGCAAACTGCTCTTCCGCTCCAACGTCTACACGATTGCAAACGAAAAACAAATAAACACAAAGAAAAACTAACTAAATAACATCATATGAAATAACCAATTAAACCAAGAGGTTGAGCTCGATTTTAGAAGAATTTAGGAAGAAGAATGGGTCGAATCGGAGTTCAAACGGAAAAGTTATAGCCTCCGGAAGTTTGAATTCAGGGAAAATCCGAGGATAAAAGAAAAGGGAATATTCCGAGAATATTCTCTGGATTTTTAATTTCAGAAATTGAATTAATTTTGGATAGGAAAATATATGTGGGCCCACTATCAGTGGCATAGAGTGTATGGGTGAACTTGGTGTATGTGAACTCGATGACGTGGAACGACACGTGGCGACATAAGGCGATGAGGTGGCACTGACATGGATGGATCTAGGGCTGAGGTGGCATAGGTTAGGGATTATGTAGATCCAACGGTTGGGATTTGATCTAGGGATTTGGACGGCTGTGATTATTTGGAGTTTTTGGATGGCAAGTCCCACACGTCAGTGTCACAGGGAAGAGGACAAGCAGCAGCTGCTCCACCACAGGCCTGGGCGTGCCCGGCCATGGCGGCATGGCGACTCCGGCACAGCGACGTCGGCGGCGTTCTCCAGCGACGGCGCGCAGCTGCAGCGACGAGCAGCTACGTCGGCAAGAGGAGGCGGAGGCGAATCCGGTGGCGCAGCACCGAGCTCCGGGACGACGTGGAGATGACCCATCAATGACGAGCGGCGGTTGCCGGAGTGGAGGAAGAGAGAGGAAAACGGCGCGGAAGGAAAAGAGGCTCGGCCTCAGGGCTTTACCAGCGGCTGCGGTATGGTAGGAAGATGGTGACGACGACAGCGCGGCTCCCGGCGGCGGCACGGAGCAACGGCGGCGGCGGCTGCTCACGGTGGAGATGGCGGCGGCTTTGAAAAAGGGGGGAAAAGGGGCGGTGGCCGACGGTATTTATAGAGGAAGGAGTAACTAGGGTTAGGGCGCACGGCGCAAGCTTTGGAAAGGCGGCAGCTCCGAATTTGGCGGCGCGGCTTGCGGGATTTGGTGGCGCGGCCGGCGCGGGCTCGGTCGGCGGCGGCTTGGGCCGGCGACACAGAGAGGAGGAGAAGGCCGGGCCGGGGCGGCACGTGGGCTTGGGGCTTGGCTTCCCCAGGCCTGCAGCTCAAGAAGGAGAGAGAGAGCTGGAGGTAGAAGAAGGTGGGGGAAAAAGAAAAAAAGAAAGAAGAATAAGGGCTAAACTGCAAAAGGGTAGAATAGAGAAAAAGAGAGGAAGGAAAAAGGGAAAAAGACAGGGACTTCTCTAGAAAATTCCAAATATAAAGTATTTGGAATTTTTGGGAAGGATTTAGGATTTGAAAAGGAATATTGGATTTGGATGGAATTTGAATTAGGGATTGAGCTTCACTTCCGAAATACAAATTAAATCCAACTAACTGCAATTAAGAATCACAAAGCGAACAACGTAATTAACTAATTAATCATTTTAAAACCTTTTGATTTAACGAAATTTTCATTAAGCTATTTTAGACGAATAAACCAAATGTGAATTTTCACAAATAGGCGAGAAGAACAGAAAGCGAAAAATCAGGACGTGACAATTCCAAACCTTTTGGATCAGCACTAGGCATTGAACTTCTAGTTTGAATTGTTACTTATCTTTACAACAACTAGATTTCAGATTGCTTAGTGTAGGTTTACCCCACCAAGCTCCACAAAGAAACCATCGTTTACGTCATCTTGGTCTTTTGTTCGCTTAACCATCACACTTTTTTCCACCACACATATACTTCTGTAACTTGCAAGGAATACATAAGAGCTTCGGTTGGTAAGAGAAGGTGAGGTTGTGACAGTTTCCACATATTTTACAATTCCACATATATTTTGTTTTGCCACTTGTGTTACTAACCATGCAAGAAGATGTCTGAAATTAATCCGGAGGATTGTGTTACCATGGCTCAATTTAATGAGTTGAGGCGTAACATGGAGGCAAGACAAGATCGAATGGCACAAGATGTTCAAAATATTTTGGGTCATTTTGAAAATATTAATCCTTTTGGTGGAGATGCAAGTGTGCACAGTGGAGAAGATGAAGAGGATGATAATGATGATTTGCCCTATCGTTTTGGTCGCATACCACGGCGGAGAAATAATGATGAAGAGAGGCTTGGTAAGCTGAAATTCACCATTCCAAAGTTTGATGGTGGATCTGATCTAGAGGCTTATCTTATGTGGGAGTTGAAGGTTGATAAAATATTTCACATCCATAATTATTCCGAAGAGAAGAAATTGGCAATGGCTTCACTTGAGTTTGAGGATTATGCTCTAATTTGGTGGGAGCAATTGATGAATGAATGAGAAGAGAATGGCCAAGATGAAATGAAGGCTGCAATGAGAGCAAGATTTATTCTGAGGCATTACTGACGTGATCTTTTTGATAGATTGCAGAATTTGAAGCAAGCAAGTTGGTATGATGAGGAATATTATAAGGAGATGGAGAATGCCATGATCCGAGCTAATATTTTTGAAGATGAAGAGCAATCCATTGCAAGGTTCATGTCAGGGTTACACCGGGATATTCAGCGAATTGTGGAATTTCAGTCATATCGTAATCTTGTCCAGTGTGTGTATCAAGCTAGCAAAGCTGAGCATTAGTTGCAGCAAGATGCCAAGGCAAGAAAGTCGAGTTCATTCAGTTCGCGGGTTACCCCAATTGGTAACAAGTTTACGCCAAGAGCCAATGTGAATTGAGGTACCACCATAAACTCGAGTGGTGGTTTACGCTCTAATGTTTCTAGTTTTTCTAATGGCAAAGAGGCTGTCATTTCTAGTGTGAAGAGTAAACCAACGGTCTCATCTACTACCTCAATTGGCTCTACTTCTAGGAGTCGAGATATCCAATGCTTCAAGTGTGGAGGCCGTGGGCATGTTGTTAGAGAATGTCCAAACAATCGTGCCATTATTGTGATTGAACATGGAGAGTTTGATTCAGCTAGTGAGGTGTAAGAAGATGTTCTTGATGATGGAAATGAAGATGTTGTTGGAAAAGAGGATACTCAATGTGAGTTTGAATAAGGTGCTGCACTTGTTGTGACTCAAGTTCTGAGTGTACAACTTAAGGATGCTGAAAATGGACAAAGAAACAATCTTTTTCAGACCCGAGCTAAAGTGGGAGGAAAGGTGTGCAAGGTCATCGTTGATGGAGGTAGCTGCCATAATCTTGCAAGTAAGGATATGTGTGACAAGCTTGGTCTGAAGTTGTTGCGACACCCACATCCATATCATGTCCAATGGCTAAATGATAGTGGAGATATCAAGATTGGGCATCGGGTGAAAGTTTCTTTTAAGATTGGTGAATATGAAGATGAGGTTTTGTGTGATGTTGTGCCTATGACAGTGTGTCACTTGCTGCTGGGAAGGCCATGGCAATTTGATCGATCATCACGGCATTGTGGTCGAACAAATCAATTCTCTATCAAGTGGAAAGGAAGGAATTTTGTGCTTAAGCCCATGACACCTCAACAAATCATGGCTGAGCATATGCAAAAGAGTTCTGAAGTTAGGATAGAAAGTGAGAAAGAAAGAGAGCAAAATAAATTTAGTGACATCCACAAATCGGTGAGCAAGAGCCACAAGCCAAATATGAGTGATAAAAAGAAAAGAGAGGGTGAGAACTTTGTGATGTTAGCCACCAAATCAGAAATGAGAGATGTGAGAAATAATCTGGCTCAAGTACTCATTGTACTTGTGTACAAGGAAGTAATGATTTCAGCTAATGACTTAACATCTCTTCCTAATGTTGTTTCTAATCTTTTGCAGGAGTATGAAGATGTTTTTCCAATGGAAACACCTGCTGGACTTCCTCCATTGCGTGGCATAGAACATCAAATTGATCTCATTCCTGGGGCTGCACTACCCAACCGAGCACCATACCGCACCAACCCACAAGAAACAAACGAAATACAAAGGCAAGTACAAGAGCTTTTAGATAAAGGTTATGTGCGTGAAAGTTTAAGTCCTTGTGTTGTCCCTGTGATTTTGGTGCCCAAGAAAGATGGATCTTGGAGGATGTGTGTTGATTGTAGAGCCCTCAATAATATCACTGTTCGATATCGCCATCCCATTCCAAGGATAGATGATATGCTTGATGAGTTGAGTGGTTCTATGATATTTTCTAAAATTGATTTGAGAAGTGGGTATCATCAAATAAGAATGAAAATTGGAGATGAATGGAAAGCTGTTTTTAAAACAAAATTCGGTTTATATGAATGGTTAGTTATGCCTTTTGGTTTGACTAGTGAACCAAGTACTTTCATGAGATTGATGAACCATGTTTTGAGAACATTCATTGGAAAATTTGTTGTGGTTTACTTTGATGATATTCTGATTTACTCCAAGTCTTTGAGTGAACATGCTAGTCACATAAAACAAGTTTTGGATGTGCTAAGAAAGGAGAAATTATTTGCTAACATTGAGAAGTGCACATTTTGTACAGAGAAGGTTGTCTTTCTTGGTTTTGTCATTTCAGGACAGGGAGTTGAAGTTGATGAATCGAAAGTGGAGGCAATCAAGGATTGGCCAACCCCTGTGAATGTAAGTCAGGTGAGAACTTTTCATGGTCTTGCTGGTTTTTATAGAAGATTTGTGAAAGATTTCAGCACCATAGCTGCACCCTTGAACGAGTTGACAAAAAAAGGTATTGAGTTTCATTGGGGTGAATCACAAAAGGATGCTTTCCAAAAATTAAAAAGATGTTTGACTGAAGCTCCTTTGTTGGTTTGGCCTGATTTCACTAAAACTTTTGAAATTGAATGTGATGCTAATGGAATTGGTATAGGAGCTGTTTTAATGCAAGATAAAAAGCATGTTGCTTACTTTAGTGAGAAATTGGGAGGAGCTCAATTGAATTATTCTGTTTCTGACAAAGAATTATATGTTTTGGTGAGAGTTCTTGAAACTTGGCAACATTATTTATGGCCAAAAGAATTTGTCATTCACTCTGATCATGAAGCTTTGAAGTACTTGAAAGGACAAGCCAAGCTGAACCGTCGCCAAGCCAAATGGGTAGAATTTATTGAAACATTTCCCTATGTTGTTAAGTATAAGAAAGGTAAGGAAAATGTTGTTGCCGATGCTTTGTATTGAAAGAATGTTTTGTTGAATCAACTTGAGGTAAGTGTGTTGGGACTTGAGAGTATAAAAGAATTGTACAAAGATGATCTTGAATTTTCATAACCATATGCAAAGTGTCACCATGGAAAAGGTTGAGAAAAATATCATGTGCATGATGGTTTCTTGTTTCGAGCTAACAAATTATGTGTTCCAAATTGCTCTATTAGACTCTTATTGTTGCAGGAAGCACATGCCTGTGGATTAATGGGTCATTTAGGATATAAAAAGATATACGAGCTGCTGAGCGATCATTTTTATTGGTCAAGGATTAGAAGACATGTTGAGAGATTTGCGCAGCGTTGCACCACGTGCCATAAAGCTAAGTCAAAACTGAACCCTCATGGTTTATATACTCCATTGCCTACTCCTAGTGTTCCATGGGAAGACATTAGCATGGATTTTGTTTTGGGTTTACCTAGGACTAAGAGGGGGAGGGATTCAATTTTTGTTGTGGTCGATAGATTCTCAAAAATGGCACATTTTATACCCTGTCATATAAGCGATGATGCTTCCCATGTAGCTGATTTGTTTTTCAGGGAAATTGTGAGGCTGCATGGAGTACCAAAGACCATTGTGTCCGATCGTGATGTGAAGTTCATCAGCTATTTTTGGAAGACATTATGGGCAAAACTTGGAACCAAGTTGTTGTTTTCTACAACTTGTCATCCTCAAACAGATGGTCAAACTGAAGTTGTGAACCGTACACTATCAACGTTGCTGCGTATGATGATCAAGAAAAATTTAAAAGAGTGGGAGGATTGCTTGCCACTTGTGGAGTTTGCATACAACAGGGCAGTACATTCTACCACTAACATGTGTCCTTTTGAAATTGTTTATGGGTTCAAACCTACTGCACCAATCGATTTGTTACCTCTTCCATTGTAGGAAAGAACTAACATGGATGCTTCGAAGCGTGCTGCATATGTGAAGAAGATTCATGAAAAGACCAAGGAAGAAATTGAAAAGAAGGCGCGCAGTAATACTGCAAAGGTGAACAAGCATAGAAAGAAAGTGGTCTACGAAACAGGAGATCTTGTTTGGGTTCATCTACGTAAGGAACGATTTCCATAAAGACACAAATCAAAATTGATGCCTCGAGGAGATGGACCCTTCAAAGTGTTAGCCAAAATTAATGACAATGCATACAAAATCGACCTTCCGGGTGAATATGGCGTAAGTGCTTCATTCAATGTTGTTGATCTTACCCATTTTATGGTTTTGATGAAACAGAGTTCAGGACGACTCCTTTTCAAGAGGGGGAGGATGATGTGCCCCAACCCCTGTCACATGATGATGAGCACATCCCAGCTACACCTGACGTAAACAAGGGTGATGTAAACAATGGTGATGGTTCACATCATAAGTCACATGAGGAAAATGAAGATGACGTAAATCATGTTGATGGATTATGTCTCAACAAGAACGATCAAGCATATCATGGTCCAATTACGCGCAGCCGTGCTAGGAAAATACAACAAGAGGTGAACTCGCTCTTTGCTCAACTTAATCCAAATTTTTGTGAGAATTTTATACTACCTAAATGCTCTACATTTTTATTGCTCAGGTTTACACCCGAGGAGATCATCACTACACCAAGAAGGATGGGTTACATTGAGGATGATAAGGGTTACGTTGAGGACGATAAAGGTTACGACGAGGAAGAACCAGCCCATCCCAAACCAGTAGCTGTCTACGCCAACAAGAAGATGGTTTACTCTGCAAAAGACTCAACTTCCAAGGCTTGTGTGACCCAACCAGTCAACTTTCTCCATGCTTAATATATATGGTTGGAAAGATAATCAGGTCTAGTTTCACCTCCAACAAACGGCTCGTCATTTCGACTTCCCACTAAGGAGTTATGGACAAATCATTGAAGACTGCTCAGAAGCCAAACAGACGCGCGAGTCTTCTCGGGAATTCACTTATTATGACCTTTGAACTAGCCTATGTCCAGTAAACTCCCAAGACTTTTCATTCTCATCTAGGAGGGTTGTTCCTAGTATAAATATCACCTATGTTTTATCATTTAGAAGACTTGGACAATGAAAATATGAACCCCTCTTGTTCAGCTGTGTGCTAACAAATTCAGAGAGAGATCTTTACCCCTTTGCTCTTGTAATTTCCTTGTGAGATTAAAGAAGCGGCGTTCGACGCCCCCCAATTGGTGCTCCTGGTCCCTTCGAGGTTTTTCCTTGATTGATTTCAAGTTGTGTTGGTTGGTAAACTTAGAGTGTGGTTGGGCGAACCCTCGATTCAGGTCGCCGTAATAGAGACGGTGGTTGGCTTCGAGTACGATCGTTAGGTTGCACTGTTATCTTGGCTGCTTGCAGCTAGTTATCTTAGTCTCTTTGATGCTAGTTATTGGTTCTTGATCCTCCGCCGTAAAGATCGGGACATCAGCCCTACCGGGGTCGCATCACCTCCTCTCCTCCTCTCCTCTCTCTCACCTCACTAGACGAGACAGGCGGCGAGCCGCGGGTGGATTCGCCTCCACCGGCCTCTTGACGGGCGGTGGGCGGCAGTAATGGAGCATGGCGGCGGGCAATTCCGCTAGTCGAAGGATGCGACGGCGGCTCCACCGCGCTGATCCGGCGGCAGAGAGTGGACGACCCCCACCTAGATCCGACGACGGGCGGCGGACGACGAGCGCCGCCCGGATCGGGCGGCGGTGGTTAGGGTTTTTTTGTGATTTTTATTTTTTTTTGGACTTTTATTTTTGAGTGCAAATAACAGAACCACTCGCACGTGAAAATCCGATTTCCACGTGCAGGTGCGCCACCCACATGAACAAATAGCGATTTTGGAGACCATTTCGAGCAGACAGGCCGGAGTTCTGCTCGTCAAAATAATTTTTAACCCGTCTGGAAAAATTGTTTTTGTATGGAATTAGTTCACCGGCTGTCCCTCAACTTTACGTCAAGTCTGTATGACATCCCTAATCCCCAATATAAAAAATCTTCACCCCTAAATTATACAAAACCGTGCAATTTAGGTCCTATAGCAGTATGTATCTCTGGTTACGCTAATTTGGCATCCTAGTCAGTAAAAAAATAAAAAAAAGTTATGGGGCCCACATGTAAGTGAGAAAAAAAATGTTTGGTCTGTGTTGGTATTTCTTAACGACATTACTATAAATATAATTCCCAGCAATGGCGCCAGAAACACTCATGGTATATTATGGTTATAGAGTTCATCCGCAAACGCACGGATATACCATTATAGCATTTCACCCGAGGGTAATCCAAGGGTATCGTATTTATTTAATCCCATGAGAAGATCATGGTAGAGAGAACTTGACTAATAATTTATATGTTACTTGTAATAATCATAGTCTAAGTAGTAGTTAATATAATCCAAGGGTAGAGTGACACACAAGCAGGGAGCTACTCATTCTCATAAAATATCTAAGCTAAGTGGAAAGAAAAGAGAAAGAGAATCCACTTCTACATACATCCTAGTTATCCGATATACTAGCTAATACCCTCTATCTGATGCCGTCCTGGTACTTCGAGAAGCCACCCCTGACTGTCGACTTCCTTACGACAGCCCATCATGACCATACAACCGGGGCTAAATACGGAGGAGTACCCTCCCCAGGAAATTAATTTAGGACTATATACACGCGCGAAGGAATACCCGTACTGAGCTGTCACCATCAGCAGCCCACCTCTCATCCGCAGCATATAACCCCAAATAATGATATCCTGTAGTCTAGACACCACGCCTAAACTACCATATACTACTCTAATATCATCGTCATGACAGAGTAATTGCATAAGCAAACACTATACCCGTACCAAAGCCTCTCCCAGATAAGCTAGTAGTATAATCAGTATAACATGAACATAATGTAAAGTTGGCATTCATATACTCAGTAAGTATTCCAATACCATAAATGTATAAAGAAGAGTATTCTAAATAAAATACAAAGCTTACAAAAAAGGAAAGGAAAGCTACTACAGCCATACCCGAACTCTTCCGAAGGCTTCCGGACTCCGATTTCTACTCTATTCCTATTCCACTAGCTTAAGACTACTAAAATAACTTAAGAGAATATGAGAGAGCTCTTGCTTGAGGTGTGTGAGTGAAATGAGGTTGAGGTGTGTGAGTGAAGTGAGGATGCGAGCTCTTTTTATAGCCTCCCAATGATGGTTGTGACGTTTGGAAAGGTCGGTAATACCCACCAACCGTCATTGGGGAGCTATCTCAGCCGTCCAGGAGAAACCTGGATCGAACGGCGTTGCGGGGGGTTCGGCCGAACCATAGGTCGGGTCGGCCTGGCCAAAAATCGGCATGTGGCCTCCGTTGCTCTCCTACACAGACTTGTCAATTTTGGCTCAATTGATCGTGTCAATTCTGAGTTCTTGGCCCATTCATGCATAAGTCTGATTTGATGTCGATTCTCTTCCACTTTATGGTTATTCTCTACAAAAGGTTAGTGAACCAAATACTAGTGGAATTTTCTCTTCTTTTCTTTCTATTATTCTGTTCTCTTGTCTTCTTTAGCGAGCGAGGCTGCCGGTGGCAGAGGGCGAAGCAGCGACGGGCGGAGCAATGCGGCTGCAGGCTAGTGAGGCAGAGGGCGGCGGGCGAACGGGGCAGTGGGAGGCGAGTACAGCGGCGGCCATGGACACCAGAGCCGCCCGTCCTTATCGGTCGTGCGATTGCTGCCCAATTCCGACGGCGCGGGGATGACTTGGGCGACGTGCAGGGGACCATGGCAGGCGTGCTCTCCTACATCCACTATGCCCTCCCTGACCCCCCCCCTGTGCTTTGTCGCCGTGCTCCACTACGTGCTCGCCCCGCATGACGCCGTTGAGTGCATCAGCGCCCTCCCCGTCCGCGCACCAACCTGGCACCCGCTCTAGCGCTCCACACTACTGCCTACCTCTACAAACCCGTGGCATATAGCATCATTTAATGGTATCTAATAATCTAAGCACCACGCTTACATTACTAAACACTACTCTGCATGTCTGCATATGACATGGAGCAATCATATAAATGAACATTAAACCAATACAATCGCATATCTCTAGTAAGCTAGCTACATAATTATTATGAGACAAGTATGAACTAAAATCGGTACTCAAATAATTATGTAAATGAAGTAAAGAACCAAAACTATATAAAGAAGAATATTTCATTACTGAATAAAGTCTTACAAGAGAGAGAGAAGCTACTAGAGCCATACCGGAGTTCTCCGGAAGACTTGAAGAACTAAGAGACTATTCTATCTCTACTCCACTAGCACTAGAACAAAGTAAATAAACTAGAGAGAGCTTCTTGATTGATCCTTCTTGATGTGTGTTGAACCGGAGAAGGTGAGCTCCTTAAATAGACTTCATATGACGGTTGTGACCATTGGAATTGTCGGAAATACCCCGCAACCATCATTAAGAAGCAACCCTGGACGTCCACGTGGAAGGACGTCCACGTGGAAGGCCAGGATCAGAGGCGACAATGGCGGTTTGGCCGAACCCTAGCCCATCTGGCATGTGCCTTCTCCGGTGATCCGCTTGATGGATTCTAAACTCAGTGGTATGGTGGTTGGGCCAAATGGCAAGTGTTCTAATGGGTTTGTGGGCCCATTTATCCATAAGTATGCCACACGTCGAGTTCTAATTAATTAGACGGTTATTTTCCATTGTTTCTTCTCCATTTATATGAAGGTCTCATGCATACAAATACATTGCCAAGTACAAGTGGAAATAGATTATTCTTAATCAAATATGCATGCAAGCAGGCTCCACTATCCGCCGCTTTGCCTGCCTGCTCCAGCCCCTCGCCGCCGCCCACTGCCGCGCTCGCCGGCCGTTGCCCCCCCCCCCCTCTACCGCCGGCGACCTCTTGGCGCTCGCCCACCACTACCCCCGCCCTGTTCCGTTGAGCACCGCTGCTTCACCTGCCTGCTCCAGCTGTTTGCCACCCCCGCTATTGTACCCCGCTCTACGGCAAAGAGAAGAAAGAAAAAGAGAAGAGAAAAGGAGAGGAAAGAAGGGATGCAAACCCCACATTATTTATTCATCTCAGTTACATGCAGGCCCAGATTGCTGATTAGGATGCCATGTCAGTGAAACCACCCATATATACTGCTATGGGACCTATTTTGCATGATTTTGAACATTTGAGGGGTAAACATTTCTGGTATTGGGGATTAGGGATGTCATATAGACTCAACGTAAAGTTGTGGGACAGTAGGTGAATTTATTCCTTTTTGTACTAGTGTCCACCACTGCAGTCCATGGTGGCGTCAATTTCTACACAGTGGCACACGTACAACGCAAGCAGATAGGCCTAATCGAGGGCGCAAACGTGGGGATAGGATTTGGGGTGGCTTGGGGCGACACCTAGTGGATGGTCAAGGATCGGGCTCGTGCAACAGCAACGACACGCCACCTAGGACAGGGCATGCCTAGGTTAGGCGGCTCGCGCACGTGCTATAGTGGCGCGGTCGCCTTGGTGTTAGGAGGTCATACCGATACCGTGCGCTAGGTAGCCTCGAGGTCTTCTGGGCGTAGCAGCCAGCCAACCAAGGCAAAGGCACCTCAGCAGCAGTGTCGTGTGGCCCAAAACCTATAGCGAGCGGGCACGACAACCAGGAAAAGTGTGTGCAAGTGGGAGAAAAAGGTGGGGAGGGTGGTCGGGTTCTCACTGTGTATAGCAATTGGGAAGCGACACATTAAACTACAAGCGTCAAGGTCGTGGTTTGTGCCATCATGTTCCTGGTGGATGTCGGTTCGGGTTGTGGTCCTCGCTTGCCCCGGCGTTGGCCTTGCAGACCGAGGTTGCGCTTAGCAGGGCAGCTACGACGAGCATGTCGGCACGGTGGTGGTGGGGCAGGCTGAGGTGGGAGATTGCGTGGGAAGTATGGATGTGTTCGACGCGGTGGGTGAGGAGGAAAGGCAAGGCGACGACGCGGCCATCACCTTTATAGGAGGCTTCGGCGCGCGGTCAAGGCATGTAGCGGGGCTGGCGATGTAGTTGTTGGCCGTCACAGCGTCATCCTCGTTCCTCAAGGTTTCGCCGGTGAGGTATGGGACACACATCGGTTGGGCGGACTAAGAACGCACGGAGTGGTGCACGGTGAGCTGGCATGGCGGTGGCTCCCTAGCTAGGGTTAGAGCTCAGCACAACAATTATTGACGGCAATGGGCATGGTTGTTAGGGCGTATTTCGTTGGAGATCTCATCAACAGAAGGAGTAGCATTAGTCCCGGCGACTTACCGGTGGTGGTGGTCAAACTTCGTCGGGGCGTACGGGAACGAGACGAGGGGAGGATCAGCTCAGCTCGGCGGCTCGACTAGCCAGAAAATGCCACAATTGGGCAACTAAGCTGGTCCGGCCTAGCTCGGCTAGGCGAGAAGGAGACTGAAAGGAAGAGAAAAGGGTTGAGGGATTGGATTTAGAATTATAAGGGAGTTCAGGAAGATCAGTTGGGAGGTTTGGGTCTCGGTAGGCTAGGCTAGACCCACCAGGGAGCAAGAATAGACTTTTGCTGTTAATTTCATAAAATAGTTCCTTCATGATTTTGTTTTACATAAAGGTTTTGAAAATAATATTATTTGACTTTCAATGATAAGCGTGGGCAGAAAGAGAAAAATTCGGAAAGAACCAGCGTGATGCAAGTTTTCGCAAAAAACGTTAAAGCCATGATTTTTATTTTCTGAATTTTATTTATGAAAATTTCATGGTGTAACAGGTGGCGAGGGAATTGGGAGAGCGAGTGTGCCTGGACAGGGTAGTTTCTCAAGAGTTCCTCGACATGATAAGTAGTTTGCTTCGGGTTAGATTCAAATCAACCTGATAAGTAGTGTGCTATGATGAGTTTCTCAAGAATTGTTGGGGTACACTTCACTATACGTACATACGTACTTAAAGTATGATTTATCTTTTATATTTGCACTAATTTTTCAAATAAGACAACTAGTCAAACATTGTATGTAGTGACCACTAATTTGGAACGGAGGTAGTACAAAATATTCTACTTCAAATTCGATAGATTTTCACAAAAGTCTTCTTGTGAGAAGATGTACGAGTGATTGATAGACAGGATGTACCTGTTGCTAATTGACGGAATCCTCCCTAACATCGGAGACCCAGCTCAGGCATGGTGGAGTGTCAAAGCATCCGGCCGACTTGTTCCACGCTTCAATTCCATCCATCCCCACGAGCTGTCTACATTCCGATCCCCATCCCGGGTCTCCATCCCAACCAATCCATCATCGAAAATAATAAAATCAAACACAGAGATAGAGAGAGAGAAGATAAAAATTACGAACACGTATGTCCCTACTGTCCAAGATGGAATTAGGTGGGCAATCCTAATTATTGTGCACTTGATCCAGACAAGTCAAACGAAGGTGGGAGGGAGGAAGCAGCTTCGCCGTGCCGAACTACTTCGTACGTACTATTACTAGTATTTCCAATCAACGCCACGCTGTCCCCAACGAACGAAACGAAATATACAACTAGTTTCCAAGGAGAGCAATCATCGCCTACATGTTACACTCGGCTCGTCATGTGCGGATTTAAGCCTTAGAACAAAAACTTGTATATGTTAGGTGCTAGCTGGTGATCGCAGCTGGTTGGTACCTCTGGGCTAAGCTTCTCTCAGGAGTCCTTGCGTGATGTCGTCGACGGCGTACACGCGGCCGTCCAAGCCACCAGGGCCGGCCGGAGAGCGGAGGCCTCCGCGGCTAGCCAAGGAGCTTGGCAGGATCGAGCCCAAGAAGCTCGGGATTGGGCTGGTCGCCGGCTGCTGCCTCGCTCTCCTCACCTACATCTCCTTTGCCCGCCTTTTCGCCATCTACTCGCCGGTCTTCGGTGCGCCACTTAATTATTTCTTGTTCTCTTCGTGTGAAACTCTCTTTTTTTTTCATACTTACTGCTACAAATTTTTCGAAATTCTTGTTAGAGAGCACGTCCTTGGTGATGAAGAACGCACCACCTGCGTCGACTCAGCAGAACCCTGTGCTGGCTCAACAACAGAGCAAAGAAGAGGACGAGAAAGATGTTGGTGAAGATGAGACGGACCGGAAAGTGCCAAGCTTTGCGGAGACGACAGAAAAGAATGAAGAGGAGGAAACAGTAACGAAACCATGTGAGGCTTCCTTTTTTTTATCGCTGTTTAGCACCTCGAGTGGAAAAGAAAATTGAACACAGAACAGTTTTAATACTGACAGCATCTATCTTTCAGAATCCGATCCCCGCATAAAAAAGCGTAGCTCTAATTCGGAATTCGGTTCTCTCGTCTTGTAATTTCGTTCATGTAGGAGTTTCATCCATAGTAGTACTAATTAAGATGCTTTGTCTGTGATTCCGACAGCCGGGGACGAAGCTGAGGCCACAATCTCCTGCGATGAGAACGGCGTTGATGAGGGCTTCCCATATGCGCGGCCACCGGTCTGCGAGCTCACCGGCGATATCCGGATCAGCCCAAAGGAGAAAACCATGTTCTTCGTAAATCCGTCCAGCGCCGGCGCGTTCGACGGCAACGGGGAGAAGAAGATCCGACCGTACGCTCGCAAGGACGACTTCCTCCTCCCGGGCGTCGTGGAGGTCATCATCAAGTCGGTCTCGTCGCCGGCCATCGCGCCGGCCTGCACGCGGACCCACAACGTCCCGGCGGTGGTCTTCTCCGTGGCCGGATACACCGACAACTTCTTCCACGACAACACGGACGTGATGATCCCTCTGTTCCTAACGACGTCGCACCTCGCCGGCGAGGTGCAGTTCCTCATCACCAACTTCAAGCCGTGGTGGGTGCACAAGTTCACGCCGCTCCTGAAGAAGCTCTCCAACTACGGGGTGATCAACTTCGACAAGGACGACGAGGTGCACTGCTTCCGGCGCGGCCACCTCGGGCTGTACCGCGACCGCGACCTCATCATCTCCCCGCACCCGACGCGAAACCCGCGCAACTACTCCATGGTCGACTACAACAGGTTCCTCCGCCGCGCGTTCGGCCTGCCGCGGGACAGCCCGGCGGTGCTGGGCGACAAGACCGGCGCTAAGCCCAAGATGCTGATGATCGAGAGGAAGGGCACCCGCAAGCTGCTCAACCTGCGCGACGTGGCCGCGCTCTGCGAGGACCTCGGGTTTGCGGTGACCGTGGCGGAGGCCGGCGCGGACGTGCGCGGGTTCGCCGAGAAGGTGAACGCGGCGGACGTGCTGCTGGCGGTGCACGGCGCCGGGCTGACAAACCAGATCTTCCTCCCAACGGGCGCCGTGCTCGTACAGATCGTGCCGTGGGGCAAGATGGACTGGATGGCCACAAACTTCTACGGGCAGCCGGCGCGCGACATGCGGCTCCGGTACGTCGAGTATTACGTCTCGGAGGAGGAGACGACGCTCAAGGACAAGTACCCAAGGGACCACTACGTGTTCAAGGACCCCATGGCCATCCACGCGCAGGGCTGGCCGGCGCTCGCCGAGATCGTCATGAAGCAGGACGTCACGGTGAATGTGACAAGATTCAAGCCGTTCCTGCTCAAGGCGCTCGACGAATTGCAGGAATAGGAGGAGCGCCGTTTGATTGGTTTTGTGTGGGCGTGGCTCGTCCATAAGTGGGATGTAGGATGTTTTGATTTTATATTTATATTGTAATATTGAGTTAATCAATGTAATTTATTTCGTTGGAGATTCATGGTGTTTGTCATTCAGAAAAATATGATTTCTTCTTTTTGGTTGTTGAATGTAAAAGAAAGAAAGAAAGAAAGAAGGAAAAGCAATGTATAAATTTCAGCATTATAAAAAAATATATATATACTTCAGCCCAATTTATGTTCACACGACTATTATAAATAACGGGCTTAAGTAGTGTTCTTCTTTTTGGACACAAATGTTTCTAGCTATACATAACGGAGGTCATGGGATCCCCGTCCCTGAATTGGACTGAATCGAGATGTTAACAGTTTCTTACTACTACATCTATTCTAGAACGTAGCAACCTAAAACCGATTTTGATACATCATAATACCATATGTCAAATTCAATTATAGGTTGCTATACTTAGGAGCAGAGGGAGGACAATTGTCACACCCGGAGATTCTGCTTTTCCGTAGTTTCTAATTCACCAATAAATCGTCTACAGAAATTACTTTAGTTAACTAGAAGAAAACCCAAATTAACAATGTATTTAATAATCGAAAATATCAGGGAGAATTTTCTTCGAATTCTCTTTTTGCTCTAAAATCATTAACAGGACTTAAACGAAATATTCAGAGCATCGGAGTTAATGATGTTATAAATTGTCAATATTTGAATTAATAATATTTTTTCTCTCCCGCCTTTCGTCGAGGGTCGTGCCCTATTCACTCCCCTCTTCTTCTGCGGTTTCGTTTTGCATGATGAGCCAGGTCCGATTTTGTTCGCGGATTCCGTTTCTGTTCTTTTCCTAAAATGGCACCGCATTTCTTTTCCAATTTAGGAAAGTTTTTTTTTTGACGTGAAACATGTAACATCCTGATCTTTCGTTTCTTTTAAAAACCTATTTTAAATACAAAACTATTTTCAAAATTTGGTTCTTATTTGAATATTAGTGTTTGTGCCATTAAAGATCTCAAATCTCTCCTTCCAAGTCCACAAATAAACTCCCAGAATACCAAACTCCACATTCCCTTTTACAGTCCATTTACAATCTTTGAATCCAATTCCAAATTCCTGATTCAAATTCCAATTCAAATCAACTTTGAAACTCCTAGGAAAAATACCAAAACTTCCTATCCTTTTGGGCCATCAATCCTCTCTTTCCCTCTCTTCCCTTCCTTGGGCCAGCCCCCACCTCCCTCTCTCGGCCGGCCCATTTCCTCCCCCTCAGCCCACAACCAGCCTGGCACATCTCCCTCTTCTTCCTCCCTACCCAGCAGCCATCCTCACGCGCACGCCACGTGCTCGACGAAATGCCGAGCCGGACGAGCGACGCGTCGAGCAGCCTCGCACCCTCCGCACAGGGCCATGCACCGCCCGAGTCATTCCACACAGTGCCGCATCACGTTGTGCTGCGCCGCGCCGCAACGAGGTTTGGATGAGCTCCCTTCCTTGCCCTAGAAGCCCCTCCACAGTGGCCAACGATGTCGACACCCGGCCCCATGTCGACGCCGTCTGCAACGCCGCTGCTCCCCATCCACCATATCGCCTCCTCGAGCTCGAGCCCAGCTGCAGCAAGTCCACGCCGCCCGCGTGAGTCGTGTTCACGCCGCCGCGCCGCCACTGTCGCCGTCCTGTGCCGATGTTGACATCCGCCTCGCCAACACTGCTACACCCAGTGCAAAACCTCGCATTCTCGCCCTCCACCTCCCGTAGTCGTGAGTCCACACATTCGGTGTGCGCTGCGTGCACGCCGCCCACGCCCTCCGCGTCGCCACTATGCCACCACAGTGCCGCCATATCCATTCCTTGCTACTTCCTTCTCTTCGAAGCCACTGCAACAAAATTGTCACTTCCTGTTAAATTCATCCCGAAATAAAAATCATTCTCTAAAAAAAATAATAGAATTAATTAAAATTCGAAAAGAAATTAGCAAACCTTAAAATGCGTACAAGAAAATTTCGAATGTGGTCCGGAGGATTTTTGTTAAATTCTCCTTGGTCTAAAAGGAGCCCTCAAAATTTACTTGAATTTTCAGAACGCCGGAAATAATTATTAAGCAACAACAACAATTAAGAAAGTTTATGAAAAAGAAAACTAAAAATAATCCTCCTTTTCTTTTGGGCCAAGTCTAGCCCAAAGTTCCCCTCCTCCCCCTCGGCCTGCGGCCGAAGTCTCTCTTCCGTCCCTCTCTTTTTCCTTTCCCATCTCTCTCTCGGGCCGCCCCTCCCTCCTCTCCTCCCCGGCCCACTCCCTCCTCTCCTCCCACTAGGGCCTGCCCCGGCCCAAGCCGAGCGGCCGCCTCCCTCCCATGCCCCTCACGCGCGCCGCACGCGCGCTCACTGCGCCCGACGGTGGGTCCCACCCACCCGAGTCGTCGTCCTCCTCCTGCCCGGCTCCTCCCTCTCCCGTGAAACCATATCCGTTTCCTCCCTCAAATCCGCACGAATCAATTCCTTTCTTTCCAAATAGATTAGGGGGAATTAATCCCCTTTCCTTCCTCTTGAATTTCCACTAATTTCCACCTTGAATGGCGCCCTCAATCGCCCGGAACGGCCGCGCCATCCCCGGCCACCTTCCATGGCCACCGGCCGTGTTTCCCGTCGCCGTTCCGCCCTCTCCTATGCCCGGCTCCCTCCCCTCACCTATAAAATGGAATCCCCTCCTTGTGTTCTCTCGTTTTTGCCTCTTCTCGAGTCTTCTAAAGGTCCCTAGCCACCTCCCCGCCGTCCTCCTCTCTCTCCCGTGCCGCCGGCCACCTCTAGCCGCCTCTCCCTCCTCGCCCGTGCGCCGACCGGCCGTGCTGTCGCCATCTTCGGCCACGCAGCTGCCTCCTCTTCCCCGGTGTGTCCTCCGTTTTGCACGGAGACCACCGGAGACACATTCCTGCCAGCGTCCAGTGGCGTTGCCACCACTGCACCATCTCCAACCGCCCCTGTCGTCGCGCCAGATCGCCAGCCGACGTCTCCATCACCTTCCCTGGTACTGCGGCATCGACCTCCACCCCGGCCTGCCCTCGGTTTCGTCCGGAGACCGCCGCCGCCGCGCCGGCCTCCTCTTCCTCCTCGTTGGCATCCAGTACCTCTCCTCCGGGCGGCTACTGTTCCTCACCGGTGAGTCAGCCGACGTCGCCGTCTCCTCCTCCGGCATCGCAGCGGCAAGGTAGTCCTCGACCTCACCTCCCCTCCATCCGAACCCCGCCGGTCTTCGTCGTCGTCCTCTCGTCGTTCCCGGTTGCGCTCGTCGTCGGCCCTCCCTTCGTCAAGCCATGCTCGTTCGCCACCCGTGTTTCATCAAGAGTGCGTCGCAGCCCCATCGCCGTCTTCGTCCTCGGCTCCGCATCGTCAAGCCCTGCACCGGCCGTGTCTCGCCTCCGTCCAAGGATCGCCACCGAAGTCATTCCCTCGTCGTTCGCTTCTGTCATCCCCGAGCCGTCTCTGCCGCGCCCATTCGTCGTCGTCGTTCCGCCCCGTCGCGTGGTGGTAAGGATCCGTCCTCTCGCTGCCCCGTCTCGTCCTCTCGGTGTCGCCCCGTGCCCGTTGTGCGGTTGTCGACCCCGGTACCCATGTACCGGTGTCGGTAGTCGTTCGTGTGTGTGTGTGGTGACCGTGTTTGTGTGCCCGCTTGGTAGCCGCGTGGTTTCCACGTGTGCAACCCGCATGGTGTCTAGTGGAGTCCGTTTGTCGGCCACTTGCCTCGGTTGACACACGGGGTCTGCTTCTATCGACCCGTGGATAGTTTCTGTGTACTCGGTCTACCGTGGTCTTTTAGGTTGACATGTGGGGTCCGCATGTCAATAGCGCAGCCTTCCTGTCTTTTCCAGGCTAGCGCTTACACATGTTTTATGGTTGCAAAGCTTAATTATAATAATCCGTAAATCTCCATATAATAGCATTAAACTTTGGATGATCATATCTTGGTCATACGAACTCTGAATCGACCCGTTCAAGTCTCTTAATGTTTGTTATAACCTAAAGAACCTTGTGCTTTCTTTTTATGTATTGTTATTGCTTCTTTTTAGGCTTGTAGCTTTGCTTGTGTGCTTCGCGTAGCTTCTATCGTTTTGAAGGTTCTCAAAGCGCAGTTCGTGGTCGTTGCCGAAGGTTCGGAAGGCTGTTCTCTCTGAGCAAGGCAAGTCGCATCACCCTTGAGCATATTGAATCCTAGTTTATAAAACTATTTTGATTTAAATTATTGCATTACCGCTTTATTTAAATTCCCGCGTTATCATGGTTTTATTTAGCAATATCTATCAATCCTTGTTATAGCCGTATCATTGCTATTGTTTATTATCACCTTGCTTACCCTAGGAAAACAAAACCCCAACTAGTGGGTACTCTATTAATGGTTCCACTAGTATGAATTTAGGTAGATGCTTCGCTGATTAATTAGGCAACACTAGATGGTTTTATAACTTTAGACTTTGGGAGTTCTCATATCATTTGGACATTATGGAATGGTTGGCTTGTGATGGAATTGAACACACACCTTCCCCCTCTATTCAAAACTCCCAAAATGGTTTTAGGCTGGGCTCGAGGTGCATGGTTTTGCTAGAAGCACCTCGGCTACCATAAGGACCGGTCTTCGGGCCTCTGCTACAAAGTACGGTTGCAAAGCACTACCGTACTAACCACATGTCTAATGGGTAAGGCTTAACTCGGTGCTCAGTCTAGTCCTGAACAAAAGGACACGGATAGAGATGGATGAAGTCGTTGCAACGATGGATATCTCTAAGGCAAATGAAGGCTACGCGAGTTACGGCTCGGTAATCGAGATGTCTAGGCAAATGAAGGCTACACGGGCCGGTGTCCGTTAGTCGAGATGTCGTGGCACTAGACTAGTACGCAGGTGGTCTCACCCCTATGTGTGTGGTGCACCCGGTCTAGGTCCTGTTGCTAGGGGCTCAATCCTGGCCTGCCTGTCCCGGGATACCGGCCGTAGGCAAGGTTGGGTCGGTACTTTTGTTCACGGCTAGCATGGGTGAAGGGTTATGTGACATGTTTACGACGCGTTCCAAGGCCTTGGAATGCAGAGTAAAGATGTGTTTTGTGGGTAAAGATGTACACCTCTAATCAGAGTATAATCTATTCGAATAACCGCGCTCTCGGTTATGGGCAAGCCTAGCAATGTACCCAAGTTAGTGGTTTAACTCTTAAAACTTGCTTAACAA